TATTTAAATCAATTTAAAATTAAATATAAAATTAAAAATAAAATTCTCCTGTTTTAGTAGGTTATTTTAGAAAAAGATTTCTTTTTTTCTAAAATAACATGCTAAAACAGGAGAATTTGATATTTCAGCTACTTATATATTAATTTTTCAGGTATATTTCCAAAAGTTACAAAATTATAATTGTGAAGTAAAATAAACTTGTTAAAACCAAAAATTTAGAAAGACACATAAAAGCACGGATAAAGTATGCTTATCATAATCGCAATCCTCTAAAAAAGTATTTCATGCAGGTAATGCGGCTCAAAATAAAATCCCTCCAACCCTTGTCGCCTTGTACTAATTCCCCTTGCCCCCCTATCTTCACGACATAAAACATCAATTTTTAATGACTATATTATTTACGCTTGGCGAAACGACTATTTTTTTCTTCTTCTTGCCCCCAACATTTGTATATTTCACAAAAGAAAGTTGTTATTATTTGTAACGTCAAATTAAAAAAAAATATATAAAAATAAAAAATCTTGCATTGCATAAAAGAATGTCTTTATGGAATTAAAAAAAAAAATAACCAATGACGAAATTAACTTAAAAAAAAATTAATTTGAAAATATCATTTGTAAAATACGAATGACCTTATAGACTGAAATCACTTATCAAAACTCAATCTTTGTTATTCTTTATCAAATAAATGTTTCGAGTTTGCTTTGTGTCGTTACGTTAAGTTAAATTCACAAACAAAATCAAAAAGCTTGCTACGGGCCTGCAGGCCCGTAACAAGGTAAATAGATACTAGGTTTGGTATTTTACGGGTCCAAACAGCTAGAATATATATGAAACGAAAATAGTCACTGTGGAATAGACTTACAAAGACCCGTATTTTTAAAGGTCCGATAAGCTAGTAACTATTTTATTACTCTAAAAAAAAAACTAGCTACCTGGAATTATTTTAAAATCATTTCAGTTATTCACTGTACGAATTGCTTATTTTCCATCCATCGGGATGAAGATGTTGCATATTTGGCATGAAGTGTTAATGTGGAATGCAAGAAGCGAACTTGAGTCAAGCTCGACTTAAACTTTACATTATAACTAGGGATGGATCCTGGGATCCCAGGATCCCAAAATCCCGGGATTTTGAACAAATTGTTCATCCCGAAATCCCGGGATTAGTCTCCTAAATTTCCCGGGATTTTGGGATCGTCAAAAAAAAAAAAAGTTAATAAAGTTTAAGCTTATAATTGTAACTAAGTAATTTGTACATCGTCTTTGGTATAGTAGCTGTTTGTTTGTGTAACTGTTTATTCTCTTTGCAATGTTTTCCTTTAAACACGCTCTCTTTCTGTATTTTATTAAAAACGAAAACTCAAAATATTATTGCTTGTCTGCAAAAATACGATGCGCGCAATTTTAATTTCATTTTTATAATCATTCATTTTAATTCCATTCGTGTGCGTGATTTAAATTCCATTTTTATATCCATTAATTTTAATTTCAAATGTGTGCGTGATTTACTAAAGTCTTTTTAACAGTTTAATTAATAAAGTTATCAAAAAACAGTAGGTTTATTAAATTACAAAATTTTCTTCGCGACCGTTTAATTTATGAAGTTATCAAAATACAAAAAGTTTATTAAATAAACTATATTTAAAGTTATTCAAAGAAGAAATTGGATTTACATAAACTCAAATTAGAATGATAAGTCTGATAAAGAATATGTAAGTTGAAATAATAGATATAAATTGTTAAAATATACTAATTGTTTTTTTAATTGGAACTTATGTAAAGATCATGACAAACTACGCAGAATTCAACTGCACAAATCCCATATGGAGACATTACCTAAAAGGAACAGATGAAACAGCCATGTGTAAGGTAAGTACATGCAAAAAAGTATTGAAAATCGTTGGTAGTTCAACAAAAGGTCTACATTCTCATTTACTGCCCATATATAAACTTAAAGTAACGTCGCAATCTCAAGCACCAATTTCATTCGCGACAACTTCGACTTCAAAAGAATTAGAAGAACCTCAAAATAAAAAACCGAAAATCACGAATTATTTTTCAACAACATCAAAAAATCAAGAAAGTCTCTCTGAAGTTTATGCACGTATGGCAGCAAAAGATAAAATATCATTTAGTAAAGTTTGTAATTCTATTGATATACGAGCTGGGTTAGTTGTACGTGGCTATAAAAATGTCCCAAAACCACGTAATACTATTAGAAAAATGGTTTTAGACTATTACGAGTAGATTAAAAAACAAGTTATAAAAGAAATAATTAATCAAATATCAAGAGGCTCTTTTCCTTAACGCTCGATGAGTGGACTTCTTTTGGAAACTGCAGATATATGAATGTGAACGTACACGAGGTATTGCTTTGCCCTCGCTCTACAACTGGCAGTTATATCAGTTCTTTATAAAAATGACTCCAGTCCCTTGGAAGTTAATGAAAGTATAGATGATGAGAACGCTGCCTTTGCAAATTTAGAGCATAAAAATGATGAAGAAAAATATGATGATTATAATAGCGATTACGTTTCTGAAGAGGAAGATAACATTCGAGATATAAATGATTCATTGTTTATTAATGAAACATCTGAAGTTAAAGTTAAGCACCAAATTATTGGACCCGTTATAACTAAAGTCAGGAAAATTGTAAAATTGTTTAAAAGATCTCCAAGCAAAAATGAAAATTATTTACAAAAGTACGTAAAAATTGAGTTCGGAAATGTCATTCATTTCCGAACTCAATTTTTCCATTCTCAAATCGGTCTAGCATAAGCAACAAGCTGCTCCCGATGAAGCAGCTTGTTGCTTATGCTAGACCGATTTGAGAAGTTGAAATATTGTATTAAAAAGGCATTTCTAGGTTTAGAATTAGATTCCAACATTGATGATTCAATTAAGATGAACAAAAATGAAAACAAAATAATATCTGGTTTAGTAGTACTTTTGACTCCTGTTAAAGCAACTGTGGAAGCACTTTGTCAACGAGACGCAACTTTAATTTCTGATGATATTGCATTAGAGTTCATGTTGACAAAAATAAAACAGCAACAATCTGAAATTGGAAAACAATTATATGATGCTTTGAGTCATTGAATTAAAGAGAGGAGAAAACCGTTAAGCAGCTTAGTTTATTATCTTCATAATGGCCGGTTTACTTCATCAAAAATGCCAAAAGTTTTTGTTCCAAATACAAGTACCCAAAATAAAAAAATTATCATAAATCTGATAAAGCTGAAAAATTCGGCAAATATAATAACAACAACAGACTCGACTAGCGATGTTCAGTTAAACCAGGCTTTATCAAGCCACAAATGTGATAATAACGTCAAAACCATGAGCGAACAATTAAAGGAAGTTATGGAAAAAAAATTGGCAACAATACGAACACCACCTATAAGGGTAGAAAGTATATCTTTTAAAGTTCAAAAAGAAATGTTGTTATTTGAAAGTGGTAGCACAAAAGACAATCACCTTCAAAAAACATATGATTATATGCTAACCATATGGCCAACAAGTTTGGAGTCTGAACGAGCATTCTCCGCCGCTGGGTTTTTATGTTCAAAAAATCGAACACGATTAAGCGACGAAATGATTGACGCTTTGAGTTTTTTAAGGTGGTACTTTCAAAAAAATACTCATGTATTATCCAGCATTTTTATATCATTTTTTAATTATTATTTTTATTTAGGGTATTGTTTTATAATCAAAAATACTGTTACTTTGGTTCATTAATTTTTAAATGTTATCATCTTAGATAAGTTTCAATATATAAAAAAATTAAGTTAAAACATCAGATGTTTAAACTTAATTTTAGGTACATTAATAAATTAAATATTTTAGTTATATTATCATTAAATTAATCATTTTTAAGTGTTTGATGAGTACTTAAAAAGTTCTTATTATGCTTGTCTCTTTTAACAATTGCTTTTTTTTATTAAATCCCGGGATTTCCCGGGGACTAATTTCTCAATCCCGAAATCCCGGGATTGAAAATTTCCGGGATTTTTGCCATCCCTAATTATAACCGAGTATAGGTTTTCCCCTCAAAAAATACTCTGCCGCTATTGGTTACAAAATAAAGTTCAAGTCGAACTTGACTCAAGTTTGCTTCTTGCATTCCACCCTTAGTTTCTATAGTAAATACTACAGACAAGAAGGTTAAGAAACGCGATAGAAGACTTATTTTCCATATATTAACATATTAACATTAAAAAATAATAATGGGTTTAAAAAAAGATATGAAGATAATATTGAATATTTTTAATGAAAAAAAGTAAACCATTGTTTTATGAAACTTTTAATTGAACGGATCATTTCATAAAAACGGCAAGTCATTTTTGGACAAAAACGATAAAGCACGGAATCATGTTATATGAGGGTAGATACATGTTACATACATGTCAGACCTTTCAGTCAACATTTTATAAGGTCTGTCTAATGTGATTTCTCAAAGAAACATGTATCTAACCTCAGATTGCATGATACCGTGCTTGACTAATTTTCGTCTAAAAATAGCTTAAAGTATTTCTGAAATGTTCAATTATAAAAATGTTAAATAATAATTATAAATAAATTCGATCATTTAATTCTATCAATTGTTGTTATTTCAGTTCAATTATTATAATTTGTATAATGATGAACAAATAAAAAATAAAAAAACATAATAGAACAAATGTTAAATGATTAAATAAATAACAGTTAAATAATAAATAAAACCGCTATAGATGGATATAATGGTAGTATTTAGTTATGGAATATTTATTTTTAATAAAAATCATTACATTAATAAAATGACAATACCTTATCAACAAAATCTTAGCAACGAAAATAGCGTATTAAAAAATGCAATTGAAAATTTTATTACTTAGCTTAGCTACAAAACTACCAAAATATTGTTTATAAAAAAAATACCGGAATTTGAGCATAGAATTTAGTGAGAACTTAATATAACATTGTAGTTTTATATATTTATAGATATATTTATTATATACTTTTATTTTAAATATTATATATTTATTCATAAATAATTATTCATAAATAAAGTTTTCAGATATTTCAGTTTTAGTATGTACAAATTTTACGAGAAACCTATAAACAGCTAGACTCGCTTATCATAAAACTACAACCAGGTAGACTCGCTGATCGTAAAATCTGATGAATCCTTGTAGTCTATATCAAGAGATTTGTTAATGTTTTTTTTGTTTACGGTTGCATAGAGTCCCTCAATTGCAGGATTATTTACAGTAGCCCTTAAGTTTTTTTTGTTGACAGTTGCATAGAGCTCTTCAATTGTGATGTCATTTTCAAAGGTTTTTACGTTTTTCTTTTTGTTGACAGTTGCATAGAGCGCTTCAATTGCAACATCATCAGAAACTTTTAACTTTTGAATTTCGTCAATTGGAATACTATAGTAATCAGAATTTTCATCAAAACTATCTGTCGCTAAGTCTGTCGCTAAGTTTTTTATTTCATATGCATTAGTTTCTTCATCAGCTTTCAAGATATTTCGTTTTTTCAAGCGTTCTTGTATTTCAATCATAAGTTTTGCTTGAGTTGTATCAAAGAAAATGTTCGTTTTATCGTCCCCAATGTAATTCGAAAATCTATTATTACCAATTTTATTGCCCCATTGGTCATTTGAGAGTTTACTACCGCCAGTTTTTAAAACGCCTTCTAACTCTCTGTAGCTATGGGAATCTTTATCAGCTGGGTCTTTGAAATTAATCTCATTTTGATTATTTGTACAATCTAACTTGTCTAGCTCATAATAAATGAGTTCCTCAGGAATTTCGTTCACTTGAATGCGTTTACCTAGAATAAGATTTTGACAATAAAAGTTTACGTGCATTTAAAATCTTTATATTGGATCACAGATACTGTAAAAATATTCATAAATATATAAATGTCATTGATATTGTAAAAGTATTTATAAAAACATAAATATCATAAATATTATAAAAACAATTTTTTATTCATACGCAACAAACATTTTGTTTATAAAAAAGCAAATTTGTATTTTTTTATTATTATCATTACTTTTTTAGATAGGGAACAGTGAACAAGTGGGACAATAAAAAGTATTTCTAGAATTTTTTTAATACAATGTAGGTTTTAAACTAAACAAGTTTTAACAAAACATCATTTTATGATTCCGTCATTTAATATAGACTGAAGTTTATTATAAAGTATATATTTTAGAGGAACCGCGCTATTGGGGTAAAGTTGGACAAGCGAGTAACTAACGATATCGTAAGAAAAATTATAACTTAAAAGCCATTAAAATTGTAAACCATGATATTTTCACACCATATTTACACAATAGTGTTGGTGAGAAGTAGAACATCAATTAATTTTTTTTGTCACTTCATTCCTAAAAAATTACTTTTTGGGGTGATTATCTAAAATGCGGTTTTTATTACACGCAGGGAGACAAAGCAATGTTAAATATTGTGATTAGGAACTTCTCCTTATTAGAATTTTTGGGCTGTCCCACTTTTCCTCAATCTCTCCTAAACAACTTATTTGTATTTTTTGTTAAAACCTTTTAAAAATGAACTTATAAGATTTCATATAATAATTAGAAGGTAGCCAACCTATTTTATCCTACGGTAAAAATACGCAGACACATTGAGTTTTCGGGTATGTTTTGAGCTGAATTTTTATATCTTAAAACAAAACTTTTAATATTAGAAAGTAAGGTGCTTTGTTAACTTATTGTGCAATAGTTAATATCTAAAAAACAATAAAATTGCAATTGGACAACAGGTTGAATTATGGCTACGCTCTATTATTCGCTTATTATTACGACTGTTGTTATTTTTGTTGTTGTTATTGTTATCTTGTCTGTTTTTTAGAGCTCCAGTCCCCCAATCTTTTCAGCGCCCCATTTTCACCCCATATTTAATAATCATTAATATTTTATTAAAAAATAAATAAAATAACGAAAAAGAAGTTTATAAGTAAAGTAAGAAATTTTTACCTGAAGGGCTCAAATTTATATTATTGAAACTAATATCGGGTGCTGAATGGCGTTTAACAATACTCTTAAGTCTGTCTACTGAAGGTAAAGGTGGCGGTTGTTCTTGCTGAGGTGAGTATTCAAATGATGGTTGAATGCTTGGAGATAATGTGGTAGGTCTGCTGATATGTTCTTTGCGATTTTTGTGCGGTTTAATATTTAGCTTTAATAATAGTCTATCCTGAATTTTTTTTCCATTTTTTTCGGATGAAGAGCTTTCAGGAACACTTATTTCAGAGCTTTTTCTTCTGAATGGAGGTATCACGGGTATCGTAATTTCTTTCATTATTGAAAATGATATGTAACAAACGATTGTAATTGAAAAAAATTTTGTTAAATATATTTACAAAAATTTTTTTTGCGTATTGAGTTATCAGTCCAAAATCTTATCAATTGTCGTAATTAGTAAAATAAATGAGTTTGCATGCTTTGTAATGTCTAGAAAATTACTTAACGACATCCTGCAGATATTAGTTTTTCTGCCAAATTAAATACCGATTGGAAGCGTTGTCAACGTAACAAGTTTGTATTTTGTAATATAAACCAAATTAATCTTAGGATTTATTTTTTATTTGTAATTTTATCATCATAAAAACCATGTTTATTTACGCAAAAAAGAGCAATGGTGTCATTTTAGTATCTAAGTACTAATTAAAGGCAATTAACATTAAAGCCTAGCCTATTACTTCCCCCGCATCTTATGAAATTTTCAAAAATTTTCTTTTTTTTTTTCAAATATATTAACAATCAACATTAGTATCCAGTCTTTTTATTACAACTTTCTTTACATTTTAAGATAAAGTAATGTAGAAACTTTGCATATAGTTATATCCAAAATAAATAAAAAATTTTATTTTATCTTATTTAGATAAAATAAAGATGACAATTAACAGTAACATTTTTTTCACAGATGAGTCAGTAATGTCCGTTAATTTATCAGATTGGGATTGCAATCAAAAAATAAATAAAAAGTTATTCAAGCAAATTTTATTCATTACAGCATCATTGCCCACATTTTTTTATTGACTTTAATAAAAAATGGCTGTGTTAATGGTGTAGTGGAGAGAAAAATGACGGTGTTAATGGTGTAGTGGAGATGATGGTGTTCATGGTGTGGTGGAGATGATGGTGTTAATGGTGTGGTGGAGATGATGGTGTTAATGGTGCAATGGAAAGAAAATACAGATTAAAAAAGATTATTATATTAAAGTTATTTTTATTATTTATCTTTTATTATATTATATTTAATATTATTACACTAATGTGATATTTATTAACTAATGTTGGTAGTAATATTTAATAAAAAGAAAAAATTTAAGAATCGTTTTTTTAAAACGATTTTTTTAAAGAAGTCGAAATCACATTAAAACTACAAATGCAGAATAACGGTCTTCTGACTAGGTTGAGGCAAAATAATGCAAGGATTGACGGAATTGGAGAAAGTTTAAATAAAACTTTGAACAAAACTTAAGAAAGGGTTTCGAACTTTTTTTTTTTTTTTTGCCAAAAACTAAGAGGAATAGGAAACATTTAATTTTAAAAAATAAAAGCGTGATCTCGATTCATAGCATAAAAATGCTGAGGTTTTGTCAGACAAATTTTGTCTAACAAAAACCTGAAGTTTTTATTAAACAAAAACATTATTATTAAATAGTGATGATTCAGACTTTTTGAGGACGTCATAATTAGCTTTAACTATTTGAGGAAGTATCTAAACTTGTGAATACGTCACAAATATATTTTTCAACATAAATTATTTTTCAACATAAATTATTTTTCAAAATAAATTTTAAACATGTAATATGATTAAAATCTTTGATAACTTTAAATTGGCGCTCAAAAATATAAATTCTGAAACAAAGATAAAATGATTATAAGAAATGTAGTTAAAGGATGAAAAATAAAAATAACTTTAATTTTCAAATTCCAGGTTAATACCAGATTGTGGCTAAATAGCTCAGTTGGTTAGAGAGTCAAACAAAATATTAAACCCGAGCTGTTTAATATTTTGTTTGACTCTCTAACCAACTGTCCGGGTTTAATATTTTGTTTGACTTGTATTGCACAACACGCTCAAACAAAATATTAAACCCGGACTGTAACAGTCCGGGTTTAATAATTTGTTTGACTTGTATTGCACAACTCGCTGTGTAATACAAGTTCAAACCAAGTCACCTCCAACTCAGCGCTTGAGTAGTACTCCAGTATGCAAAAATGTAAATAAATAACAAACGCTACTTTGGATCGTCTTTATGAATGAAACGCTACTTTGGATTAGTCTTTATGACTATTTGTGATTGTTCCTATGCTTAGCCAACAATATCTACAAAAAAGAGAATGAAATTCAAATAAATAAAAATATGTATATTACAATCTTTCACACTTGATGTTGTGACATTGCTGGTGATGTATGTTTTATTCACGACCTTTCTTAGCATTTAAGGCGCGTAATATGAATAACTACCCGGAAGGAAGTGAGCTTACGACTAGGTAGCGACTAGCTAACTTTTTTTGACCATTTTTTTTTTACGTCTTAAAAAAATATTGATTTTTAGTATTAGGCCGCGTGAATAAAAAAAGCAATTGCTTTTACTCAGCATTTTTAAGGAAGCTTTTTTAAGGAAGAAGGAAAAGAATTGCTCAGCTTTACGAGAATAAAAATTTGAGCAATTTTGCTCAAATTTTTATTCATGTAAAGCTGAGCAATTACTCCAAAAACGTTAAGTAAAAGCAATTACTTTTTTTTATTCACCCGGCCTATTGGATCTAATATATTTATGATATTAATTGAAATTATAACAATTCAATTTTATTACGACATGTTGTTATTTAAATATCACAGCTTTGTAGGAATCGATGTTACTACGATATATCGATATTACTACGATATATAGATATTACTACGATATATCGATATTACTACGATATATCATTTTATATCATATATTATATGTAGCATTGTAGCTAGCCACAACATCAGGGCAGATCCAGCTTTTACAGGTATTTTAGATAACTAACTTGACATGGAGGAAACACCAAACATTTATATGTTTGTGCTTATGTCAAATAAGGATGTTTTTTTAAAAAATTGTGATGATTATGATTAAATTGTGATGATATACCTTATAAAATTTGTAACCCCTACAAGTTAAGGGAGGGTCAAACTTTATATAGTCATAATTTTTGAACGCTTATGATTTATTCTATAAAATTTAAAATTTATTGATGAATACAAATTTAAGATTAGCACATAGTATAATTTATCAACTCGTTGCTCTCACGTTTGGGGCAGTTATGGCTAAAATTAAAAATTTATTTTTTGTCAATCTAAAAAATTAGTATAAAAAAATAAATGTTTTGAGCTTATTCCATATCTGGAAGTATGCTATCTCATTGCAATATATATAATTGCATGATGTAACAAAAAAAACTTTTTATGCGCACTTGATTTTTTACCATTTTTAACATACAGATGTATCGTGTAACAGGTGGATCGAGTAACAGGTGGATTGTGTAACAGGTGGATTGCGTAACAGGTGGATCGTGTAAAACTTATAAAAAAGTGCTTATTTAAAAATTATACAAATTATTGAACATAAAATATAAATTCAAAACACAGGTTTTGAACATTTGTAGAAGTTAGTGTACTTTTTAAAAACCATATATATATAGTAAACAACTCTTTTTTAAAGCAGTGACTAAATCACTTTTCGGTGACTTGCATTTCTTTGTGTAGTCTTTCCCATGTTCGTGTGAAAAACTTCCTAGATAGGCTTATATTTGTCCTTATGCTTACACAATAGGTGTATTTTATTGCTTACAATTGCACAACCCATAGCTTGAAAGCTAAACATTAATAAGTCAACTTTTGGTGTTCAGTTTTCTGTTACCTTTTTTCCGAAGACGTGTCTAGTACGAGCACAAACTTTTAATTAAGATAAAAGATGCCAGGTAAACCATTATATTTCTTAAGAAGTCTAATTTCAAGACCAGCAAAGACGCAATTTTTTAAAACTTCTGAAAAAGACCCAGCTTTATATGTAGGACAGAAAATGCAATTTTCACAAGAAATACCAAAAGATCTTTATCAAAATCAACACGAGCTGGCCATGTATGAGTGGAATTAAAATCTAGCTGACTCTATCTGGAAATTAAAATTACATTAAAATTAAGGATAATTAACATATATCCAGACTTTCATGATGAAATTTATCACTTTAAAGTCATACATTATGAGCCAACCATGAGAATAATAGTCAATAAGTTCCAAAACTATTCAAATAGAAGACCAATACTCTTAAACGTTTGCATACGCAAATGGTATTGTTGGAAGGACATTATTTTTGTTCATTATGGCAGCTTTAAAACTTATTTCCGAAAAATTAATAAGCAGACACCAATCATTACTTGAGTAAAGAACGTTAAGGTCCCTATCAAGTCATCGATATTATTACAAAAAGCAAAGCCGTCAGAATAGGAAAAGAAAGCAATAACGTCTTTATTTCGCACATTGGCTTGAAAAACCGCCAATGCTGTAAGCTTTTTTTTTTAAATCTAGGTTTTTAAGCAAGACTAGACATTCTTTTCGACATTTGTTTATTAAGGTTAAACTCCCTACAAAAATTCTTAAATGATTCTACAGACCATTTAAAATTTTTGATGTCCGACTCTTCATAAGTAAAGTTGGTGAAATTGTCACCTTCAGATGATTGTGAATAGGAAGCAGTAGGTTGAACATCAGGCAATCGGCTAAATCTGGTAAATCAATTTTAGGGGTTTTAGAGCTTGCACAGTCAAAAAAAAATTTTCTGTTTTAATGACAGTTTCTCAACTGGATAGCGAAATTCAATTTGAGATCATAACTTTCATAATTGCAAATAAAAGATGGCATAAATTGCTTTTTGACATCAGAACAACTAATTTTGAAAAACTCCTAATAGGCTTCCTACAACGTTGTAGTGAACTTTTGCTTTGATATCCTAAAAAATTGCGCACATTTATAACAAAAGTCATTAGGATTAATTTTATGTCGTTTTTCTAATGTAATGAAATAATACAGAGCTGAAACTCAGAATTTTGACACCTGTGTCTTTTTGACACCTGTATCTTTTAATCAAGTTAAAAACAGTTTTAAACAGTTGTAGCTCACCAAAACACGAAAAAAAAAAATCAATTCATAGAAAGTCAGTGAAAATTTTATACGTATTAATGACTATAGATAGCATACTCAAGATAGTATTAAAGTGCACTCTATCACACTCCATCACACTCCATCACACTCCATCACACACATATAGACTAAATTACAAAAGATTACACATTATATAAATTATTACTATTTAAAAATTGCGAAACCTCAATATCTACATGATAAATTTCTGAAATATTTTAGATTTAGATTTATGTTGTTTTCTTGTCTCAAGAAACATTGAAATTTCACTTGTGCAATAAACTTGTTATACCTGCGTAATGGAATAGT